GATACTGCACGAGGAGTAAACATGTTAGCAACGCATACTTCACCAGGGCGAAAGCCAGCAAGATGTTCACTGATTCGGCTCTAATGAAAACCAATGTGTTGATGTCGAACTATGCGCCTGAACAAAGTGACAATAATCTAATCAGGCATATAAATTAAAAGATGAAAAACGAAGCTTTCAATGCATCCAGCTACTCGTGTGGCTAAAACTCACGTGAGGATTCATGTGGTCCCAGAAACCACCGTACAAATGAGTCCAAGGGGAAGAAGTCTCTGGTGCCCACATTGACAACAATCAATGTCAAGCAAAGGTGATCAAGTACAAAGAAAGTGATCACGATGTCAAGAGACGAGACCGTGGTATATCGCTTGTATGCGTGATGTTACACATGGGGTCACTGGTCAGTAAAGATGTGGTCGGATTACCGTAATGTGCGGTATCCAGCCTTGCTGTAGAATGTGTGTCAGACGTTTACAGGTAACAGAAAGGAGGTTGATGTCCAGAGGATTTCCACAGAAGGCACAAAAATGGGTCGTATGACATGTCTGATGGTGTCCAACATTGACGATTCCAATGAACTTTTCGGATCTTCTACTACTGGCCAGCAAACATTAATCAGCGACAACTAGATAAGAGGCAAAGCGGTAGATTAATGTGGGTGAACTTGCCCTGAGGTTGCATGTCCCAATCCAAACACACGGTTGATAATCTAAGACCCAAGGATGAACATGGTCAACTAATTATGTGGTAAAAACCATATGAACTGAAGAATACTGTCTAAGGGAAACTATGACATTTTCAAGGTTGTCGAGCCGAAAATGGTGATTTTTAAACCAGCTAGGAAGTTCTTCAAATTAAACTGGATGATGGTCAAACCATCATCATCATTCGTCAGTATACAAGTTAGCTAGAAGTGGGAAACCTCTCAGCTATTGTGCCGTTATTGGTCAAACCATCCATGATGTTTCAAATGAAAGTGGATAGCTAGGAACAAACTGCTAAACTAAAAATAAAAAGTTCTTTGCCTATACCATAATACTTTGATTCCTCGATTGTACAGTCTGCTGAACTTCATACAATAAACAAAAATGAGCGATGAACGACGAAACGACACGTTTCCGAGGCACCAGTGGTGCAACAGAACGTCCCTAAACAGAAAGGGATCAACGTTTGTCGACGAGAAAATCACCTACGAAAATGCCCCAGTCGCCGATGTTTACAATAGCATGGCAAGAAGAATTACGAATGCTTATAGACCACAAGAATCCACCGTTCAGTGCAACTTTAGTAAGAGGAAAGATAACTCCCGACATCCAATAGACTATCATCAGTATCATCATTATACACGTCAGCTAGAGGTGGGAAACACCTCAGCTACTGTACCGCAATACATAAATGAAAAAGGAAAAGAAATACAACAGTTGCATGCCAGCTCAGCTACCAGCAACGGATAGGCATCGTTCCGGTAACCTAGCAGCCGGCTAGTAGGCAAAAAGAAGAAATTATTATGTTTACGCTAAGAAATGAGATCGTAGGTGGAGGGGGAGGCTAAAAGAAATGGGGAGGGACAAAGAACCTCACAGCACAAACGCCACTGAGATCGGCTCCTTGCCATGTCAGCAAGTGTATCCAGCCAAACGTGTTCACCGTCTTTTGGATCCCAAGCAGGGAACAGTGACGCTCCAACCGAGGCCAGCTCCGAAGTGAGCGCCTTCATTCCTCTTGATCAAGTCATTGCTTGGTCACCCCTCCTCTTCTTCTATCCACATCCCCGGTGAGCAAACAACGCACGTCGTGGAAGCCGGTGGGCTGGCATGCGCAACACGTGGTCCAGCCATCGGAGCCTGGTGCGTGAAATGACGGTGCTGAGCGGTTCAGTTCCTTTTTCTGTGACGTAAACAAGGCGTCGAACACGCTCGTTACTCCCGCGGTGTTCCCACCCATCCAATAGACCGATGAACGCCTTACGTAAGATATTTCAAGAAAGGTACAGCACCGGCTGAATCAAAACGAGATTCACCCGTCTGGGTCAACGATTTCTAACACCATCAGAAAGTTAAAGAGCATGAGCTCAACCGCGTCAATAGGACCATGAAAATAACTTACGAGAGAATCTAGATGGAATCGGATGCTAACGATCAACCAGGAAAGTCGCGTAGACGGAAGAAAGTCGCTAACCTGTACGAATAATTCGCTGCTGTGGAGGAATATCGATAGACGACGAGCACCAATTGACTGGATATCTGCTTCACTCTCTGAAACTAAACCGCCAAACTCATATGGTCGTCCTTCTAAACCCATTCCATACCAAGCACAATGGGGTACAAAGTCCGCACAGAAATGTGGCGCTGCAGATCAGTGGACATTATATCATTCGGCGGGATGGAGCATTTCATCATAAGGCAGTGGCATAAATAAGGCTCAGTTAAGTACGGTTAAAAATAACTCGTCATCGTACGAAAAAGAACTGATAGCGGCGGGGGAAGAGAAAAACCGTAAAGAAGACGACGAAGGAAAGAGAGTTTGGCAAGTAAAAGTAATAAGACTGGAATGCTAACAGCTAGATGCAAGAGATGCTGTGGAAACGCTATGGTAAGGTTGGTCTCACTGTACGGAATAGAGACCTGCCCAGTTCGAAGTGAAAACATTAAGCATTGGGCTGTGTTTGACCACTGGTGTTTGCGGAGTATTTCTCACGTCTGGCGCGGACATCGGATGAGCAATGCTGAGGTTTGCTAGTTGATTTTTGGCAAGAAACCTTCCGGTTCCTCAACTCGAGTGTTTACTGAATCTTAATCGCTTATGTTGGCTAGGCCATGTCCTCTATATGCCTGTTGACCGGCTTCCTCGGCATTCAATATACGTCGTGGCTGCACCAAGCTGGGCGAAACCGTGAAGTGACCAGTCCACGACGTGGCATAAAGGCATGAAGAAACTGCCTGAGACTTGGTCGGACTGGTGCGTGTCGCATCGGAACCTCGAAATCACACCAATGGCTGGAGACCGTAGCAGACAGACATGGCGCAGACACGCAGCCAGTGGCACTCCTGCATTCGGTTTCTCGCATCTGGTTGTGAATGTCCCATTCTGATTGGTTTAATGCACTACCTTTTTGTTTCCAATTTTTGCACATTTTATTTGTATGCAACCCCACTATCTTTCCGTTGCTATTTATTGCTATTCTGGCGATATAAGACGTGGCAAATGGATCCACCGCACTTTGGTGCTCCGATCATAGTTCCTCAACGTAAATGAACTGAGATACAAGAGACGAAAAATAAGGAACGCCAATATCTCCACGGCTGTAACACATTCAACCAATTATGTTGCCAAGTCAAAGGCCAGGGAGATAGCCTGAAAAGGACTCGCAGTCAAACCGTTCATGCTTTCTGCAGTGCCATCGACTAGTCACTCCGCAGCTTCACCCAATTGGACGAAGCAACAACAAAAGAGTACACTTCGCATACGAAGGATGCGATCTAGGCAAAGTGAGCGATTTGAGTTCGATAGACAATCTATTGTGACATCGGAGAGTCCACTCCCGAACACCAACAGCAGACTTCGGTATCGCCCAAACAATGCGCTCACCAGATAGGAGCAATGGTCCGCAAGCACTTATGATCGAAGACAACCAGATTTCGACTGGCTTCTAAATGAAGTGACCACGTTTCTGACCCAAACAGTAAAAGGCAAGGAGATCCTGAGATCCTGTCAGCCGATGGCCGAGAGGATTGCGTGCATACCTTGTAATCCTTAGGTCGCCGGTTCAAATCCATGTACGTGAGGGTGACCTCACGGTACACCCAGCGAACGCGCGATTAGTGGTGCTTGCTTGGCAGAGAAGCGGTGGTACAGGGTACTGGCGTATTGCTGATGCCTTTTGTGGGCAATGCAGCTAGTGACATGCCAAACAGTCCGGCTCATCTGGTAGCTCGACAAGGATCAGGCTACTCGAGAGCAAAAGAGTAGAAGTGAGAAAATGCAGTGAAATAAATATGTAGATAGTATACCGTCAAGAATATACTATATTTTCCTTTTATTTTTTATTTGAGAACACGGACTGAAACAAGCAAGTTTGAAATTGCTATTCAACAGACTGACGCGTAGCTTTACCACACAATCCGAACCACTAATGTGGAAAACACTATTGTAGGATTGGACCGACAAGCCGCCGGTTCTTGCTATCATCGAAAAGGTACATAATTTAAGAGGTTAGTTGACATATTAGAAGTCAGTGTGGCTCAGGCATATTTCGAGACGGCAGGACATCTGCCTGCTAGCTTAAGGTAGGGCGTACAAGGCTGCGATAAGGACGGTGTCATTGTGTAAATTAGATGCTAGACCATTAGGAGATTGGTCGTCTTCGACCTCCGGTTCCCACATCTGGTGGGAACACCGAGTGAGCAGTGCTGGAGTCCGTTAATTGGTGTCTGAAAATAAACCTGGTGCCTCATTGGAGTGTCTGTTAAAGCTTAACAGGTTACGTTGGCTAAGCTGTCCTCCGCATACCAGTGACCGTCTTCCTCGGCGTGTACCAAGTTGGGTGAAAGTTCCAGGTGACCAATCCATGACGTGGTATAAATACATGAAGAAACTGACTGAGAGATTTGGTCAGGCTGGTGTGTGCTGTCTTCGTGGATGACGGCCCGAGACAGTTCATAGCAGCGGTTGGAAACCCAATCGGACATGGCGCAGTCGCACGCCCAGTGGTGTTTTGCATTTGGGGTCTTGCACATAGCTATTAATATGCCGTCTAGACTAGTTCCGCGCATTTCTTTCTTAACGCCTTGTGTCTAATTTGTGTACTACCTCACTTTATAACATCTGCTATTTATTGGTACCCTGGCGACGCGAGTTGTGGCAACTGGGTCAACCATGCTTCAGTGCCCGGGTTGTAGTTGTTTAACGGAACCCAATTAAGAGTTACATCAAAAAATCAAAATGTCAGAGCAGAGCACATAGCCGTGCGTCTATGAGAAAATATGGACCATAAAACTGGCTCACTTTTGTTTGACGGCACTTAACTCCTCCCTCATCAATTCGCATTCAGTACGCGCCAGCGAGGCTCGCGTTGCTGCTTCGTCAGCACTTCGTTCTACGGTTGTAAGACGCGCTTTCAGTTGCATCACTTCGATGGGTTCTGTGGACACTACGAGATCCGAATTCCCATCGTCGTTCACAGAGTCGCAAGTAGACTTCTGGTGCTCGTGAGCTGGAGCTCTCAATTTGTTAACGGCCTTAAAAAATCAAGGTAAAAAAACAGAACAAAGAGCAGGATGTTTAGGATTTCACGCTTAACAACTCTAGCGTATCAAGACGGTACAGTGAAAACTCGAAGCCATGTGAATCAAATTGACCTATAGCTGGCAAAAAGCTATGATTGAAAGTGTGGTAGCCGAGAGAAGAAACCCCAAATTGGCCAGCGTCCTTCGTATCGACAAGGCAACATCAGTGTGTTTATACCCAACTGCACTAGACACATGACGAAATGAAAATAAATGGGACATGATGCTGAGTTTAGCGCATTGTGTATGCCTGCTGGAAAGATGTTCAGATAATGTGGAGAACTCGGTGGTAAAGTGTTGCATTTTCAATAGTGATTGGTAACACGACGGGCACTGACCACATCCGTGCAAGTTTGTCGGTGGATTCGAGGTAATCGTTTCTTATCCGAGCATCTCCGCTTTCGGAGTCAATACTCTTCAGCTGTAGAGCCGCTTCCTCGTCAACTATATTCACAAGCTGATAAGCGATGATATTACTCTGGATTGCAACATCAGCTATCACAAACGAACGAGGTAGACGAATACTGATTGGAAGTACCTACGATGCGTCGTGTAAAAAGAACGAGGTAACTTGTCTGCTCAGTCGTAAACATGCGAATAAGGGATAATTTCTTGGAGCTTTCATTAGCATGATTGAACACGAAACACATTTCAGCCAGGATGTCAGTCAGCGTTCGTAACACCACGGAACGTCCTCTGAACAATTAACCTGAGTACCAACCGGGAGCGATGACCTGTGGTCAGTGGCCGCGAGGCGATGAATGCCAGCGCTAGTAAGAACAACAGAAAATACTTTAGGCTTAGTTGACCCAATAGTACGAGAAGGGTGACCATGAGTAAAGTAATGGTTGAAAAACATGGACATCTGATTTCATCCTACTCACCACGGCTCGTGGCCTTAAAAATCACAAACTTGCCTTGTAATCTGAGGTCACGAGTTCGAGCCTGCGTAGGGGACCAAGCGACCAAGCGCAGTATACTTAGCACACGCGCGGCTGATGGTGGTTGCGCGACAGCGAAGCGTTGGCACTGCGTACCAACGTACTGCTGATGCCTTTTCTTCACCACGGCTAGAACGCTGAGTCGAACAACTGAAGAGCGATTCAAACAGTATGATGTATCAGAGTCGTTAGCTGGGCGACCTCAATCCACGTGGGACGGTGGCGCGACAACTTTCGCTGTCGAGGAGATCTAAAACGACTCGGCGATGCTGAGGAGGAGTAGGGTGCCTAGCCCAGAAATAACTTTTCACCGTCGTTCCTGAAGGGTGGTGGCTTGCCTTAGCCACTCTTTATGACATTAACTGGTGCAACGAAACCCTACCCTCTAATTGGCGGCTACCAACCGTTATTAAAATAGTCAAAAAGAGCCACATCATCGTGGTATCTGTCATACCTCCAGTGTTTCCAAACCGTTGACGTGCAGCATGCTGCAGTAACTTACTGATCCAAGGGAGAGATGATTCGGTGAAAACCAGACTGTCCTTTATTATGATCGAGGTACTTTCATCAAGATTTTACCCTTAGCTCCGTGCTCGAACGGAATCATAACTGCAAACAGCCTATCACAGTAGTCCTTTGTTAGATGATGGCGAAATACACTTCGACTGATCGTGCCTGATTGTGATGATGTTCAACTTCGAAAGATGTACCTGAGAGGTTTCACTTTATCCTAATGTCTCTAGATCATAACTCCTGGGGTTGTGCAGGAGTCTACAGGAACCCCTGTTTAAGTTCAACCCGAACAGTAGAATATGTGGTGTTTGCTATATCTTTCCCTTTCATTTCCACTCAGTGATCATACATGACTACGTACTTCTTGTCATTTCTGGGATAGAGGTTATGTTTGGTGATCAACTATCAAACCTAGAGTATGCGGACAACATGACTCTCTTTGGAGTTGATCCGGTGGCTATGCAAGTGTTGCCGAACAAACTGATATGCCACCAGAGTTCCCTATCATGGGATAACCGCTCTAAATCGACAATCGGATTACATATCTAGGTAGGTGTATCACCTCTTGCGCTCGTTTTAATGTTAATGTTAAATGAATCGCTAAAGCCAGTCTGACTATTCAGAACACCAATCGATTGCAGAGACCAAAGCATGTAAGCTCAATGGCTAAGCGTACGGTTTACGATACTGCTGTGAGAACAATGCCACTTACTGGATCAGAGACATGGCTTCTGGTCATATGTGATCACCGATACTTGCGAAGCATTGTTAATCTATATAAGACCACTGCCGGCTCGCGGCCTTAAGGATCACAAGACCGTCTTTTAATCCCACAGCATGGGTTCCAGTCTGCGTATGGGACCAGACGACCCTCGCAGTATCCTTAGCTCACGCGCGACTGGTGGTGGTTGCGCGATAGTGAAGCGTCCGTACTGCGCGTACCGACATACTGCTGATGTCCTTATTTTAGCAGTATCACTGAATGATTTGAATTAGGCTCTGTCACCTGACGCTAGGCAGCCAACCCTCCGGTACCTCAAGGAAGTGTATACTGGACTAGAAGCGCTTCTGGTTGCTCGACGATGGGCTACGAACGCCGTAGGCCGGTCTCTCCGGTATGTTGTTTGTAAACACCACACCTAAGCAACATTAAAATTCAACATATTCGCTGGGGGTGAGAAACACTTCAGCTATCGTGCCGCAATGCAATTCAATAACGTACTAGCAAAAACCCAAAAATATTGGTATCCCTCGTTAAATGGATTGCATTAACAAAAAGATAGTGGTTGGAAGAGGAGGCTAAACGGGAGGGCGCCGGATACAGACACAACGGACGCCAATGTGGTCGGTCCTTCGCCATTAGGTGTAACCAACCAATCGTGTTCATTGTACTTCGGACCCTAACCCGAGAGTTGAAAGTCTCCAACCGATGCCAATTTCAAAGTGATAGACTGCATTCCTATTGATCGAATGATCGCTTGACCTCCCCATCCATCCACACCACGGTCGTGCAAACAACACACGTCGCGGTATGGTGTGCCGGTATGCGGTGGCCCAGCCACTGGAGTCCAGCGCGTGAGGAAATGATGCTGCGGTTCACTACCTATTTCTGCTCCAAAAAACAGGACGGCAGATACACACTGCTCACGCAGTGTTTACCCCAGATGTAAACCAAACTGCGAAGGTCCGTGGTTGAACGTAAAATGTCTCTTTACTTTTGTCGATTTAATAGACCAGGTTTCTCAGCCGCATGGTAGGATTGTGCGGACGGTTGCATGACAGACTTTACCCTTCAAGACGAGTGATATCACGACGGCGCTACAGGTGGCGGAGAATGGTAAAAAAGCCTCGAGTTTTTTCTAGATGATTCGTCATCTAATCTTTTATTCAATAGGCGCTGATGCAGCTGCACAGGTAGTTGAATTGCTAGACGACGTTTATTTGATCCCCACCAAGGATTAGTGCAGTGGTTAGGCCTTGAAAATTTTAGGGAGCTTTGCCTTTCGAAGTTGTAAAGCAAAGCCCAGAACAGCTGAGACCCAGTGTTAATCTGACCTGTGTTGCACGGCACATTTGTGAACTGTCACAGATTAGGGCAATATCACCGGCCTACTCCAAGACAATAAATCGAGTACTTAAGAGCAGATCCACACCTTCTATGTCATGTCTAGTGAACGCAGCTTTTATGAATTTGTCCATGACTAAAACAAGAAGAAAAGTAACGACAGAAATCCCCGGTTCCCATCGCTGGAGGTACGGTAGGGCGGCGACAGTTTGCCATAAGCAGTCCCTCTGATCAAACTACACGATAAAAGTGATATAATAATGTTTACATATTTCTCTGTCATGCTTTTTCCAAATCAAATGGTCCCATAAGGTACATCGGTCCACCAGACTGAACAAGATTACGGTAGGTCACCAATATATGTAGCAGTGGTCCAACAACTGACGTAAAGTGAACATGTGATCAATGACCCTCGATCTCGACGGAACCCGGCTCATCATCATCATCATCATCATCATTATACATGTCAGCTAGAGATGGTAAAACACCTCCGCTATTGTACCGCAATACATAAAGGAAATACATACATACATACAATACATAAAGGAAAAATAAATACGACGGTTGAATGCCAGCTGAGCTACCAGCAACGGATACGCATCGTTCCGGGAAGCTACTAGCCGGCTACTAGGCAAAAACAAAAATTTAATTACGTTTTACCCTACGAAATAAGATTGTAGATGGAGGGGGAGGCTAAAGGGATGGGGAGGGACAAAGAAACTCACAGCACAAACGCCACTGAGGTCGGCTCCTTGCCATGTCAGCAAGTGTATTCAGCCAAACGTGTTCACCGTCTTTTGGACCCCAACCAGAGAGCCGTGAAGCTCCAACCGAGGCCAGCTCAGAAGTGAGGGCCTTCATTCCTCTGGACCAAGTCATCGCTTGGCCACCTCTCCTCTTCTTCCACCCACATCCCCGGTGAGCAAACAACGCACGTCGAGGGAGTCGGTGGGCTGGCATGCGCAACACGTGGCCCAGCCATCGGAGCCTGGTGAGTGAAATGACGGTGCTGAGCGGTTCATTCCCTTTTCCTAGGCCGTAAACAAGGCGTCGAACACGCTCGTTACTCACGCGGTGTTCCCACCAGATGTGAGCCAAACTGCGAAGGCACCGATGGTCGAACGTAAGTAGCCTCTTCATATCCGCCGATCTTAGGGGCCAGGTTTCGCAACCGTACAGTAAGGTCGAACGTACCGCTGCATTGTACACTCTACCCCTCAGGGCGAGAGTAATGTCGCGCCGTCGCCATAGGTGGCGAAGGTTAGCAAAAGCACTTCGAGCTTTCGCTATGCGGTTCGTGATCTCGTCTTCGATCCCAAGGGCGCTGATACAACTTCCCAGGTAATTGAATTTCTGAACGACTTCTAGCTGATCCCCACCAAGGGTCAGCGTAGGAGGCGAACCCTGCCAATCCTGGAGGAACGCTTTGCACT